GAACCGTGTTTCTGCTGCATAATAAGCAGTGCACCTACATGTCCAAAGTGCATGTATCGTGTGCACTGTACTGAGTAAACTTGACGAATTGATGCAATCAACTGCTTGTTATTTACCATTGTCTGTCATATAGGTACGCATATTGTCCTTCTGTTGGCAGGATGTTTTTCCACATCAGCTTTGTGACATGTGTTGCATGTGAAACGCTCGTGTTCAGGCTGAGATGTCTTTTTGTGCCTGATTCATATGAATCGGTAATCATACATCCGTCTTTTATGTTTTTTCTCTCACATAATCCGACATGCAGCAACCTTTTGCGTGGGTTTTTATGTGTAAGTCGTTATACGCCCGCCTCCCCGGCTGTCTGTGTGTGCCGCGCGGAGCCGCTGAGAGCGGTCCGCGGACAGACGCACCTGACTGGGGCGCGGCCAGAGGTGATGTATCGACCACTGACTCCGTGTGTCGGCGCGCTCCGACTCACCCGTCGCCGCCGACGGGGGTCGACACGGCGCCGGGCCGGTGACGCGCCGCCCCGCCCGTGTCGCTAGATGTACCGGAGCTGGCCGTCACGGAGCTACGGCCAGCGGCGCGACGATAACGGCGGTAGCTCGGAGGCGCCGCGCCGCGTACGTAACCGGCCGCGGCCCGGCCCGGCCCGCCCTCTCTGGTCGTGGTTATTTGCAGCAGCAGTCGAGCTTTATTCCACTTTTTGCGCGGCGGCTGCCGCCTCTGGCGTTGGCTCTGCCAATATGCCTCGGTGAACCGCTTTCATGCATGGCCTCACCGCCCCCGGCGCCGCGCAGCGGAGCCCGCCCGTCCCGTCTCCTTCCCTGTAGACCGGCGCTGCTCCGTGTTGTGGCACCGCGCATTGACGGCGCTTCTCCGGCACCCCTGCCCTGGATCGCCGCCGGCTGCATACGTTCCAGTCTTGAGCCTGGCATAGGGATAAAGTACTACTGGCGACCACGGCATGCATCTGATCAGTAGGAGATTTTGGTTTAGTTTGCGATACTGCATCATATACGGATATGCTTTGCTACTTTTCTCAGTTTGCAGTCGTCAAAATCACATTGTTTTCGCCTGCCTCTCCAACACTAAGGCCCGAGAAAGGAAGTTATTTGTTAAGAAATCATGGACATCAAGTGATTATCGCCATGGACAGTTGATTGTTTTCGATTGGTCATGGCACCTGCTCCATTTCCCTCTATATCGTCCACTGCATTCGCCTCTGTTCTCGCTCGTTTGTTTCGGCGCGCAGTTGGAGGTCTATCTGACTCGGCCGGTCAGACGACCGGCGGTCCTTCCGGACCCTGGTCCGGACCCAGGCCCCGGTGGCCGCCATTTCTGGGCACCGGGGCCTGCTGCTGGCGAACGACCACTCCGGCCGGGGCGCTCACGCTGGTGCCGTCGTGATCGCCTCCACTGTCGTCTGGAGGGCTACTGCCCGTGATTTACCGGGTATTGCCCGCTCGTCCGCCGGTCTGCGGGGCCGCTCCCGTGTCTGGAGAGGGGTTTGGGTCTAGGTCAGAGGCTAGCTGCATCATAACGGCGTTTGGAAGAAGCTCGTCAGGGTGAGAGGGTAGTGCTTAGCGAGTGAGGCCAGGGTCGAGCTTGATTGAGCCATGACGGCAGAGAAGTGCGAGGACGGAGGTGTTGGGGAAGCTTCGGTGATTAAAACTGGTTGCGGTTTTAAACTCTCATGGTGTCTGACTGGATTCGGAGTTTAACGGCGGATGACCCAAGTGTTCCTAAACCGATAACGTTTCATGCCGGCAGATTTGCCGGCCCTGATCATCAAACTGTACTGCATTCTTGCATCATTTTCCTTTTATGTCATGCTTAGCTCCAATCCAATTCCCATTACACCAAGAACTGTGCACAGTTTCCGCCATTAAACTGTGTCGCTAATGACCTCCGTCCCAGGTCGCCCGGCAACCTCCTCTGTATCTGTTGCCGGGCGTGTCTAGGAGTTTCGGCTCGCCTTGCTACACGATTCCCCGCGGAGATCTGACGAGCAGACACCTGTTCAGAGCACGTCCGGAACCGGGCGCTCCGCCACCCGGCTCAAACCTCCTGCAAATTAGCAGTCCCGGGCCGCGGCGGGCGACGGGGCGCGGAAGTGCTGGTCAGAGCAGCGTGTGACGCCTTTCTGTGGACGGCTGCTGAGCTGAGGGCTCCGCGGACGTGAGATGTCACGCGGCTCTCCCGCTGACAGGGAGGTTCTCAGAATGGCCGGCGAGCGGAGCTGCGCGGGATGGAGCGCGCCGAAATTGGCTCTGAATTGCCGACTGGGTGAATGGATTGAGATGGACCTGTCGGGGACCCCGTACGTGGCCGTGTTAAACGTGACAGGACGTGGCCGTTTAATTAGGGGTCTGCAATTCACTGGGCTAGGTCGCTTTGCTGGATGACAACGTACAGAAAATTTGCAGTAAGTGCTTAGGACAGCATTGATTAGATCGGAGTACCTTTTTCTGTTGGTCTTTTGAGTGAGCGATGAATGTGCATGCATTTCTTCACAGCATAGCTCGCGGCAAGTTTTCGATATGCAAGGGCACAGTAACTGCTTCGGTTACTTTCTTTTATACCATCGCTGGCTTGATTTTGCTACGTGATCACCAGCACTTGCAAGTGATTTAAGTTATTTTGTCAACCATCTTACTTTCGTTTTTCCTTTTGTATCTTCGTAAGGCATGTTAGTACGACTAGAGCAATAATTCATGATCATCATGATCATTTGTTATCATTTCGGGGTTCCCGGTAACAGGAGCAATATGCGGTGAGCAATTGTTAATCTCATTCTCCGCTGTCCATTGTCTGGTCAACATTGTTCCCCTTCTTCGGTCCCCTGTCTCGTGGTGATCCCTGCGCCCGTCTGTGTGCCCCCAGGGTCTGCTGTGACCCGCCGTGACGCCGTGGCCGCCCTCGTCCCGTCTGTGCCCTCAGGTGACGGGCGTCACTGTCTCGTCGTGTCTGTGTGACCCCCCCCCTCCCGTATGTGACCCCCTCCCCCGTCTGTGACCCCTCCCCCGTATGTGACCCCTCCCCCGTCTGTGTCCCGTCAGGTGATGGGCGTCAACTGTCCGGAGGCGCTGGAGGAGTTTGAGAGGCTCGTGGACGAGCTGCCGGCCAAGACGAGTCGCACCAGCTCCAGCGCCTACGTGCCCTCCTTCATGGAGACCTGGGTGTTCTACCAGGTGACCAAGTGTTGATCTGAGCGCGGTGAGTCCGCTCCTGTCCTGCATGCCCTCCGAGAGAGAGCGGAGAGAGCGCCGAGTCGCCCAGGCCAGTGTGACTGACGGGTGTCATCAGATGACCCTGCGACCTGTGCCATCATGGATGACCCTCTGGTGTCATCGTGAGCTGCCATATGATGCGGCCCAGGGTCGCCGGGTGCCCGAGGGCTGTTTTCCTCCATTGTCACCTCCGTTTTGTTGAGTGCGGCCGCCGGCCGGAGCCACAGCACAGCGCAGTCGTTACGCACATTTTGAGTGTTTGTCACGGAATAAATAGGCAGCTATTATGTACGTCTTGTTGAAATGTTTCGAAGTTTGTACAGTATGAGACCTAGACTCGCGGGAAAAGAGCTAGAGTGACTGGAACACGGACGGAATGAGAAGGAAGGGCAAATTACTGTTGCCGAGAGACTGAATCGAGGCACAATTATGGTTCTCTAGCATGCGGGTAATTGGGTAAATGTTGAAACTTATTGGAATACTATAGATATTTTTGGCATTTTTTACCTGTCATCACCCGTGTTCACAAAGTAAACCTATTTAAATTAGTTCGTTGCTACCTCCCATCACTAGATCATACTGACTCACTTTTTCAGCCGATAGGTCAGTCGAGTAGAGGTTAAATATTACCTCACCGCTGTGTCAATATGTCGGTAGCGGCGCGTCGCTAAAGGTCAAGCCAACATATCAGAACAGACGGACACCGATCGGGAGTAGGCGCTGGTGGTATTGATTACCGAACCTGCCATTTACGGGGTGATTGACCACCGATTGGATATTTGAGGGAAACCTTTGGTCCCATTTCCCGTACTCGAATCAGCTCCGTAATGCTTAGTCCAAGTATGGCTCTCCCAGGTCCGCATGCCATCTCACATTCCCGCGCTCGGCTGTATTAATTCCCAGCGGTCTGTGACGGCTACGGTGCTAATATCTGCAATACCGTCCGTCTCCCAGTCCGTTCGAGATCGATTGCCACATTTCAGTGAGCTGAAAAGTTTATTACGTCCGTCTCTATTTGGCTTCCTGGTATCGACCAATAAATAAGCGTCGTGAAGACGGATGTTGTATATCATATTAACTTTTGTGTCTTTTCGGGTGTAAAGTTTCGGCTAAAAGACGCTGGGGGTCTTCTCCAAACGGCACTGCCAGGTAGGATATGAGGCGACACGCGTGCCAATAACTTCCGATGCGGCCTGTTGCATCGTTCAGAGACGCCCGTAGCCGTGGAAGGAGCATGCTGCGTGACATTACGAATCCCGCGCGGCCCGAGCCACGCGCTCATCAATCTGAGTACTGCCGGGTAGGTACGTACCGCGCTACTGGGAAGGCGCCGCCATTACGGATCTTACCCTCACGCCGCACTGCACTGATGAAACGCTGTTGATGTTTAGGCGGTGTAAATATGGTGCCTGCAGACTGCTGTTGGCAGGGGGAGTCCGGCGGCTTATTAACGTTCTAACACAATCCATCTTGAATTGAAGTTCAGGAAGTTACAAATGACAGGGCGGTTTTCTCATAAAAGCTTCAGCTCTTTTTTATCCAGTGTTTACTTACAAACTTGAGCCTTTTGAGAGGTATGCTGATTTAAAAGCAAATACATACTTTTACAAGTTAAACTCCACAGTTTGAGGTTGCAGCAGTCATAGAGATCTTATATTCATGTATATAAGATCTCTGCTGTATATAAGATCTCTATGGCAGCAGTCCCCACACATGCCTTTAACCATATCCTTTGACCTTTTTGCCTACCTTTACCGTCTGTGCTTACATCCGGATCACAGCTGCTGAGGAGTCACGTCGACGTCCGAGGTCTGTGAACTACAGAGCGTACCGCTGCTGCGCTTCCTGGAAACATGGAGCCTTGTTTGTTTCGGTCTTTGTTGCTTTCTCTTAAAAGGCCGGTCGACCCTTGTAAAGGCTGTTCAGTGCTCATAGAACGTCTCTGTAGGGCTGCCTGCTGGCTTATCAATTGTGTCGGCGCTGATACGCCATTGATAAAGTCTCCAGGAATATGCGCACGAGTAACACTGGCTGAGGTCCATGTGTCATGCCTTGCTTATCATTGGCTGCGCTGAGCGTAACGCTCATCCAGAAGTGTGACAAAGTTCGCATTCAGTTCAGTGGGTTGGGTGTTCCATACAATAGATATAATTTGTCAACGAAACGACCGGCTCAGCTTGCTTCACCACGTGTGCTTATATTTTCTGCGACCATCACCGGCGCACAACCACCGCACTTCAACTTCACACATAATTTCGGCTTCCAGAGTGTATTGGGTTTGACGTCCAATACAGATAACGACGAACGGTAGGTGCGTTATTGCTTGCAGCTCGTCCCGAGGGACCGACGAAAACCAACGACGAAAAAAATGCCCGACACCAAGGCCTCGACCCACTCAATATACTCTGGCCTCGACACTGTCGTGACCTTGGTCGTGACCGGCGACCGCACCGCCCCACGACACGAACTCGAATGAATGCTAATTCAATGCCTGCCGCTAGATGTCTCCCAAGCTAATTCAATGCCTGCCGCTAGATGTCGTCTACATTATTTACAACATCCTCCCAGCCTTTGAAGTCAACAGAACTTCAAACACAAGGTCACTGCCGCTATAAGGTTGTGTTAACGTACACTATAATATATGGATATCGACCGCGAACTAACTAACATGATAGGTACACAGATGGTTCAGGTCTAAACGCCAAGTAACTCGGCTACAGGCGGCTAATACGTGAAATTGTACGCTAGTGACACTCTACCTCCAAGAGCGACAATGTATCTCAAACGCTAACCTTCAACGAAACACGTCTTAAGTGCCATTCAGCACGAGTTCTCGCAGGCGAGGCAGACAACTTAACACAATACGCAAGTCCAACTAGAGTACCTGCTTAGCCTGTGGGCGCTACATTTGACCCGAACGAGTACTAATCTCAAGCAAACCAAATTTGGTTCTACACTCACGGACTTTACTCCAAGCCCGATATAAACAAAGGAACCACCACAGTCACAGGCGACACCGGACCAAACACAGAATGGACACATATACGTCACCACCGCTAGTAAATGCTGAAGACAGTGATCGGTCCCGCCCTGCTGCCAGTATCACTGCACCTCCAAATCGTGCAGGCGTTGGATAGGACGAGTTTTCAGCCCTGACGAGGTCCGCACCTCGACTGATCTCACTCGCCCGTCCCTCCCCATGTGAAGCTTCGTCACTACTCCGTGAACCCACCTCATCCTGGGCACCTTGTCTTCCCGAAGCAGGACAAGCGATCCGACTGCTAACCTGCCCCGAGTCCGGAACTTACCGACAACTGGCGGCAGTGAGCGGAGATATTCTGACGACCAGACCGACCAGAACTTGTTGAGCCGCTTCTCACGCACACGAGCTCTCTCTGATAGCTCTCTGGGATTCACAGAACCCGGGTCTTCCAACACCCGTGCGGGAAAACCCGTCCCTCTGCCAGTCAGGAAGTGAGAGGGCGTCAGGGGTGGTGCTGCTTCGAGCCCGTCACCGACGAAGGTTAAAGGGCGAGAGTTTATGCAGCACTCTATCTCGAAAAGGACTGTTTCAAGCTCTGTCCGTGAGAGACACCGTGTCCCAAGTGTCTTACGGAGTCCTGACTTCACGGATCGCACGAGGCGTTCCCACCACCCGCCCCACCACGGCGAGTGAGGTGTGATAAATCTCCACTCCGGAGCCAGGTGTCCAAAGAAACGCTGCAGCTGTGCGTCAGCCCCCTTGAAAGTCGGCGCGTTGTCCGAGTAAACGACTCTGGGAACACCGCGCCTCGCCGAGAATCGTCTCAGCGCCATCATAAACTCTACCAATGACAAAGCCTCAGTCATTTCAAGGTGTACCGCGCGTGTGACGGCACACGTAAACAAACACACATAAAACTTTTTGCGCGGGAAATCGACACTGAAAATCGGCCCAGCGAAATCCACCCCAGTAACTGTGAATGGCGGCGACTCGGTCACTCTACAGTCCGGCAAGGGAGCCGCCTCCTCATTACACGGCTGCGAGTCGTGCCGCTGGCACGACACACAGCCACGTTTCACACGTTTTGCGAGGCAGCGCAGACCCAATATAAAATAGGCCCCTCTGAGCGTGGCTACCATCGTGTTCACACCAGCATGACTCAGTAGGAGGTGTTGTTCTCTGACCAAAAGCTCGGACAAGTGGCCTCTGGGTAACAACACTGGGTACTTCTCCTCGTACTGTAGGTCAGACATTTGTAGCCTACTGCCCATTCTCAGCAGACCATCGTCACCCACGAAGGGGGCCAATCGGAAAATGCTGGAGCCCTTTGACACTTTCTTACCCGTCTCCAGAGCGGTCCACTCCTCGTGAAACTCGCTCCGCTGCTCCTGACGCAGCAGCTCGCGCTTGGCGTCAGCCAACTCGATGGAGGACAACTCATGACGCCTGGACCTCTGCTGAGGGCAGCGACAGTTTTCAATGAAGCGACGCACCCATGCTACGACTCGCACCGCCTTTGAAAACTTTCCCCAGCGCTCTACCGGAAAGACGCGCTCAGGTTGAGTCACAAACAAACTAACATTGCTGATTTCCTCAGACTCTTTCAACATTTCTCCCCTGACAAAATCAGATGAAACGAGAGCTCTGTCCGGCGAAGATTCACCGGAGGGCAGCAGCGCCTCGCCGACACAGCGCGCGCCTCCCGCGCCGCCGGCGCTGTCACACGCCGCGGTCTCCCGAGGAGACTCGGCCGGACCCGGAGCCGATACCAGAACGGCCTCGTCGACCGGAGTCTCGCTCACCTTCGACTCGATCTGTCGTGGGGGGTGACCCGCGGTCTCCGACAGCCAGGTAGGCCCCACCAGCCACACATCAGACGCTAGCAGCTGCTCCGCCGATACGCCTCGAGTCGTCAGGTCTGACGGATTGTCCTCCCCTGGCACGAACTCCCAGTCAGCAGGGCTGGTCAAACTGTGAATCTCGATCACTCGGTTACGCACGAACTGCTTCCATCTTTGGGGATCACCTCGTATCCACCCAAGGGCGACCATGGAATCAGTCCAGCACTTACAAACTGTGCTGTCTGGCAGACACAGAGCGCGGCGGACATGAGTCACCAGTCGAGCGGCGAGAAGGCTGCCTAACAGCTCTAATCTCGGCAGACTCACTGTCTTCACCGGCGCCACTCTGCCCTTCGCCATCACCAGTGTGACACTGTGCGAGCCATCTGACAGCGGGGAACGGAGGTACACTGTAGCACCGTACCCACTCGGGGAGGCGTCGCCGAAAGCATGTAGCTCCGCCCCCGCCTCTGCGCCACTCCAGCCCTCGACTGAGTAGGAGCGAGGGACTTTGAACTGCTTTAGCGTCTCCAGACCATCTAACCATCTGGTGAAGACTGAGTGACTTTCAGCGGGCAACAACTCATCCCACTGCAGCCCCTGCTGCCACAATGTTTGGAATAGGCACTTAGCCACCATGGTGAATGGAGTTAGAAACCCCAGAGGGTCGAAAAGTCTGGCCATAAAGCTCAATACTACACGTTTGGTCGGCACGACATCGTCAGGAATCGAAACACCTTCGAACATGAACACGTCCTCCTTCGGAATCCAACTTAGCCCCAGCACTTTGATGCTCTGGCCTTCCCCACCAGACACAGCATTGTCGAACAGCAGAGTGCTGTTTGACCTGCATTTGGCCAGACACATGCCAGCATCAGCCACGACAGACTGAGCCTCCGAAAGGAGACTACGGGCTTCCTCCTCAGAGTCCGCCCCTGACAGAAAGTCATCGACATAGAAGTTAGACTGCATCTCGGTCACCGCACGTGACGCGTCATACCTGGCGAGGTGATGACGGAGGGTCGCGTTCAGAAGAAAGGGACTGCTGCACGTCCCGAAGCTGACCCTGGTCACTCTCATCACCCGTTCTCTGCCGCCGCAGAGCCAGATGAAGCGATGCACGTCTCGATCTTCTCTCCGAAGTCCAATCTGGAGAAAGGCTTTGACGATATCCGCTGTCACGGCATAACGCCAGCGCCGAAACCTTAGTAGGACATCGACCAGGTTAGGCATCAAACAGGGACCCACCTCCAAGCAGTCATTTAGACTGACACCGTTCGGACCACACGCGGAAGCATCAAACACGGGGCGGACCTTCGTGGTTTCACTGCTCTCCTTCACCACCGGATGGTGAGGGAGATAGAATGTGGGGTGAGAGACCACAATCTCCTCACTCGGGACCTCCTCGATCATCCCCGACTCCTCCAATTCACTCAGCACAGCATCATATTTAGAGCGAAGGTCGGGATCTCTATCAAGTTTTCGAGTCAAACTCCTGAGGCGGCACCTCGCGACCGGAAGGTTACTCTGAAGCTCAGGGGCATGGTCACCCTGCTTCCAAGGCAGTGCGACCTCATACCTGCCATCGCTGAAGCTGACTGAGGACTCGAAATCCTCCAACACCTTCGAACTGGCCGGCTCCTCATCAGAACGGATGCCGACGCCTTCCAGACTCCATAGGTTACGGACGGCGTCCTCGTGCAGATCACCAAGAGTCAGCAACTGGCACGATGTACTGCCTGCAGCACAGAGTCCAGAGGAGGTCACGCCAGACACGATCCAACCCAGTGAGGTCTCCTGGGCTACTAGTGACCCTTCTGAACATCGAATGAAGCCCTGCTGTACAAGACTCCAGTACACGTCAAGACCGACCAATATATCCACAGACATCTCGCGGTTCTCACTATAGCTGTCAGCCAACTCAACCCCTACGAAAGAGGCGAGGGCTGTCCGAGGGACTCTGGGTCGCTGCAGGGGGGAACAGATCACTGGTACTTCCACAGCAGTCAACAAACACTCCACAGGTTTGGACAAGTTGGCTCCACTCACACGGAGCCCCCTCACAGCCCTCTCACAAGTGGATTTTCCCCCACCAAAGGCTGCATACGAGACAGACTCAGAGCCGAGCCATGTAGCGCCCACCTTTTTCACCAACTCTTCCGACACATAAGTTCTGTCCGACCCTGTGTCGAACAACAAAGTCGCTAGGACTGAGCCATGCGCTCCATGTACCAACACTCGAGCAGTGGGGAGCACAACACATTGATCATCACCACTGTTACACGACAGAGACACACGAGTCTCTGAAACCTTAGGACTAGTAGAGCTTGACACACCAGGGGGCTCTGCTACCCTCCCCTGACTAGTCTTCCCCTTCGAAAAACAACACAGCTTGTGGTGGCCACCGCCACACAGCTCACACTTTGACTGGCACTCCCTCGCCCGGTGTGACTCGGACAAGCAGCGAAAACATGCCCCAGACTGCTTAATCAAGTCATGTCTCTGCGAAACTGAGAGCTTGAGGAGCTCATGACACTCCACTGACCTGTGTGCCTTTCCACAAAATATACATACCCCTGATGATGCAGTCAGAGCGGCTCCAGATGGAGTCCGCGCCTGTCTCACACAGTCCCTGAGAGGCTGGTTCCTCCCAGCCGGTCGAACATCCTTGTGAGGCTGGCTCCTGCCAGCTGCTCGGACGTCCCGGGCCGGCTGAGTTGTCCCCAGCAGCTTGGTGAATGCTCCGGACCTTTCCCTCCTCTCAACTTCTGCTGCCAGGAAGTCCATCAGTGCATTGAGGTCCGCTTCTTTGCCTGGGCCAAGACGGGCCCACTCCATCCTCAGGTCAGGGTTCAGTTTACTGAGGATCATAGGAACCAAGAAAATGCCGTACTTATCACCAGTGACCTCAAGGGCTGACAGGCTACGCACATGGATCAGGACATTGTCAATGAGGGAGCGAAGGGACTGGGATGTTGAAGACAGAGGACCAGTAATAGCTAGGAGCTGCTGAACATGATTGAAGATTATCACTTCAGGCTTCCCAAACCTCTTTGACAATAAATCGCATGCTACTTGATAGTTCGCTGATGTGAGCGACAGACCAGCAACACATCTTGCCGCCTCACCTTGCAAGCATGACTGTAGGTACTCAAACTTGACCACGTCTGGCAACTCTCGTTCACCAACAGCTGCACCGAATCTCTCCCAGAAGGGAATCCATTTAAGTACATCCCCATCAAAGCTAGGGAGATCTAGTCTCGGGAGCTGAGGGCTCAAAGCTGACACAGATGCTGAGCTTACAGCTTCAGGCACGTTACCTTGTCTGCCATCAGAGACAGCAGCAGCTACCATCTTGTCAGCTCTTTCAATGGCTTCTGTCACTTCATCTCTGAACAATCCAGCCTTGATTATATCTTCCAGCATGTCATCTTCAGATTCGAACAGAACTTCCAACTCCAACTGGATGCTGTCCAGTTCCTCCAATCTGCTCTTAAGTTCACTGCGAACAGTCTGTATCCTTGTAACATCAACATCCTGTTCACAGTCATCCAGAACCTTAGAGAGCTTGTTCTTTGTTCGGCTTACCCAGGCCTTGGCAGCTACTCGTCTCTTCTTCGCTTTCTCAAGATCTGCCATATCTCAAGACAACTGAAAACAAATTGAAATGCACACTCGAATAGCACACTGAGTAAATCAATCCCGGTCTTGTCCCGGGTTTCGGCACCAATGTCAACGAAACGACCGGCTCAGCTTGCTTCACCACGTGTGCTTATATTTTCTGCGACCATCACCGGCGCACAACCACCGCACTTCAACTTCACACATAATTTCGGCTTCCAGAGTGTATTGGGTTTGACGTCCAATACAGATAACGACGAACGGTAGGTGCGTTATTGCTTGCAGCTCGTCCCGAGGGACCGACGAAAACCAACGACGAAAAAAATGCCCGACACCAAGGCCTCGACCCACTCAATATACTCTGGCCTCGACACTGTCGTGACCTTGGTCGTGACCGGCGACCGCACCGCCCCACGACACGAACTCGAATGAATGCTAATTCAATGCCTGCCGCTAGATGTCTCCCAAGCTAATTCAATGCCTGCCGCTAGATGTCGTCTACATTATTTACAACATAATTCATTCGTTATCCCGCGGATGACTGGGGGGGGGGGGGGGCTCTACAGAGCCCCCCTCCCGTTTTTCAGCAATATCTTCTAAACCGTTTGACGGATCAACACGAAACTTGCGGTACCTTCAAAGGCATCAATTTGACACCTTGTGTTAAAATTTCAACTTTCTAGCTACCATAGTTTGACCGGAAATGACGTCAGAGTGACGTCATGTCGGCCGATTTTCATGCAAAATACTGAATTACGGCAAACGCTCTCAAGAGCTCAGTTTTTAAGCTAGCTCCATTTTCTTTGCATGAGTGGACTACAAATACACGTAGCTATCAAACTGCTATCTCGGATTTTCGATATTTTGAAAATTTTGAAAAATATGTATTTACAATTAAAAAGATATATTTTTATTTTTTTCAAAAAGTTTTTGATTTTTTGCAAAAACCGGAATAAATGTGATAGAACACACACTGATAAACTACATTTTCAAGTTGTAGCCCAATATCTTCAAAAATAGCCAAGTTATTCGCATTATTGTCAAAATTTTACAATTTTATGTTTTTTTCAAATCCATTTTTCAGTACGTTTTTGACGTCGTACAGCAAATGAATGGCACCATCGTGTTGCTGAGCTGAAACTGCATCCGATAGGCACCTTTTTTGTTGAAAAATTTCATTTTCAAAATTTGACCTTTTCTGACCTGAAAGTGACCTGACCTCCGGTAAATTCAGCTGACAATGACCTCAAATGATACAGACGACACTATTTTCGAAATCTTCGAGTAAAATGGACCATAAAACATGCGTCACGTGACCGATACATGATATACAATTTTCGTGACCTAGGATGACCAGGCCTTGACTTTAAAAATTCGAAGTAAAAGTTCGGTACCCTCAGGGTATAATTTTTACTTTGACCTGACCTGTGACGTCATCGGTGACCTCGAGGTCAATGAAAATAGGTTTCCTTCGACAGTTTTTCCAGGGCTATCAGACGCCGTTTGAATTTTGACGATCGGCCCAGTTTTCGGAGATAGGAGGGGGGGGCTCTGGAGAGCCCCCCCCCCCCCCAGTCACTCGCGTTATGGAAAATACCCCAGTCACGCGGGGTTCCGCTGTTCTATCCGAGCTACCGCCTACCGGCGAATAGTATCTTGTGAATAACATCGCATTGCAGACATTCAATCATGTTACTAAGCCCGCTTTC